GCTCTTTATAATATCATATTATAATTATTTTTAATGCTAACTTCTAAGGAAATCACATTTTTTAAAAATGCATGCTCTTCAGGATCAAAATTGTTTTAATTGCTCTTAAATCTCATATTAATATAAAGAGAAAATGGTTTATGTTAGCTTGAGATAATATCATATATAGTTGCAAAGATGGACAAAGTTTTATCCTGATTTTTGTGTATAGATGATTACCAATAGCCACAGCCACTCATATATTATCTGGAAAACAATGTTCAAAAATAAGGTTCAACACTTTATGTGATGATATACTGTATTTTATATTAAGCTAACTATGGAAGTGTGATGAAGTATTACAGATTTCCAGGACTCCTGCCTACACAATTGAAATGTAATTTCAACTGAAAATGGCAAACAAACACTAGTTGAGTCAGAATTTGTAAACCAGTTAAAAAGCAGGAATAAGAACTAAAAAACTTAGATAAAGAAATTAAAGTCAGAGGAACGCTGAAGGGAACTAACTATGTAATACTGGAAATCATGATTTAATGATTTTAATTATCTAGAACTTCCAAAGAGTGTATTTGAATAAATTCAGCAATGAAACTGTAAGTACGTTTACATAGTAGGAGAAATTAATGGGAGGTGGAGCTCAAGAAGGAGTTATTAAATTCATAATCAGAAATAGCAGATAATACAATATTTGTTTTGTTACCTATTTTTCTTTCCCTTGGTAAGAGAAAGAAAATGATCTTTATGAGTTGGAGAAGAGTGAATGTAACAGAATAAAGCTCTTACTTTAAGAAATAGACATCAAATGGTTTGATAATGGTTCTTGTGAAAAAGATTTTGAAAAATAAATTGACTACATTGAATAATACATTGATTAAACTGACTAAATTGAAAAAACTTTTTATTTATTAGTCAATAATAAATTCAGTAAACTGCCTAAATTGACTAAACTGACCATGCTGTGTGATTTGCGTATAACAAGGGCAAAAACACTTTTAGGCTATACTTGCAAATCAGAAAAAGTCTTTGTTTCATTTTGTTTTCTTTGGCCAGAGTCCATCACAGCTACTAAATCTAGGTCTAGGTGTCATACCTTATAAGAAGAATCACTCAGCTGTAGGTGAATCCATGAACTTTATATTAGTCATTGTGATGGAAAGGAGAAATAACAGTTTCTCATTCCAATGAAAAATTGGAAGTAGTTTGTAAAAGAAAAGTAATATGTTAGTACGAGAGAAAATTGTTTGAAGGCTGTAAGGGTAAATAAGAAATTGTGCTTTTTCTGCTAATCCCACACCATGGTGTGAAAATTTTCTGATAGTCTTAAAATTTTAGTCCTCAGAAGTAAAAATGGTTGATCTCAAAAATAACTATCAACCATACATTATCTTATTGACTTTGTGTTTATTATACGGTATCCTATCTCAAAATGTATGTGTGGTCAAACTGTGGACAGCATTCCCTCATAAATTTAAAGCTAGACTAATAGCAGACAGCAGTGACACATTAGGAATCCAAAAAGCTACTTTTTAGGTATATTTTAGATCAGTGAGAAGTCTGATTAATTCAGCTATAATAGTGTGTAACAGTCCTATATGACCAGGTCTCAGCGTAATATCAACTGCATCAATAGAAACAGATAACAATGAAATCCTCACCATCCAAAGCCTCTGTTATCTGTTTATAACAGAGGTTGCCAACGGTTTGGACCTCAGGGACCACCAAACTCATAATTTTAAATCCCAGGGACCATTACCTGATTCTGTGGGCATGGCCTAATTTGTGGGTGTGGCTTGGTGGTTGTGACTGGCTGGTCATGGCTTGTATTATAAATATTTATATAAATATTGAATATAAATATTTTATTAAAAAAGAGCAACTTTTACCCAAAATCAGGCAAAGCAGGCCGGCAGATTGAGTTGCTTACAGAATCATTCAGTGATCTATCTATCTGCCATTGGCTAGCTCAGTC